GTTCCCGAAGAGATTGTTCAGCAATGGTCACATATGACACAAGAGTTACAACACATCAATTCATTTAAGCTGCCAAGATGGCTGCAGAGTCACAAAGATGGAACTATCAAGCTTTACGGGTTCTGTGACGCATCAATAAAAGCATTCGCTTGTGTGATTTACTGCACATACGAAAATAAAGATGACAATTATAACTCATCAGTAATATTAGTAACTGGAAAGACGCGGCTTGTTCCCATGAACAAAGGTATCACATTACCAAGACTAGAATTAAATGCGGCCGTACTATTATCAAAGTTAGTACACAAAGTTACACAATGTCTAGTTGGACATGATATCAAAATCTTCGCGTGGTCAGACTCAACAGCCGTACTGGGATGGCTTCAAGGTGAACCAAGTCGCTGGAAGCGTTTCGTTGCCAATAGAGTCAAGCAAGTGACCGAAATCATACCAGCGAAAAGCTGGCGCTATGTTAGGTCCGCAGATAATCCAGCTGATTGTGCTAGTAGGGGCATGTCTGTAGAACAACTTAAACACCATAGTCTATGGTGGCATGGACCCTCATGGTTACCTTCATTCGACGAAAATCAGTCAAAGGAAAGTTGTGTTTACATCACATCTCAAGACATGAGAGAGATAGAACAACAAGTTTCCTCCTCGCAACTACATTCAGACGACGTCATCGACTCGATACTGAGCATGTATGGTAGCTTTGCAAAATCGACGCGTGTACTTGCATGGATGTTACGTATATCAACAAAAATGCATTCGAAACCGTGTTTTCTTACAATCACTGAGCTGAGAAAGGCAAAGCATATTTTAATCAAGCATGTACAGCAACATGAGTTTATGGAGGAGATCAAAAGCCTTCAAAAGCATAGCAATATAGACTCTAAAAGCAAGCTACTTAACCTAAATCCGTATCTAGACGAAAACGGATTACTGAGGGTTGGTGGCAGGATAAGCAACGCAAGGATAAACAAAAACATGCAACATCCAATTATCATTCCTCATAGCGGACTACTTACCGATCGATTGATAGATCAAGGTCATCAGATGACTTTCCATGGTGGAGCTCGTCTAACACTGGCGTGGTTAAGACAGGAATTTTGGATTATTGGTGGAAATCGTGCTATCAAAAAACGCTTACATAAATGCGTCACATGCAGAAGGCATAATCCTGTAAAAAATACACAAGTAATGGGAGACTTACCTGAATCACGAAGTAATCCATCGCGACCTTTCAATCATACTGGTGTCGACTTCACCGGCTATGTGGACATTAAGGCGAACAAAGGACGTGGCATTAAGACGACCAAAGGTTATATAGCTGTATTTGTGTGTATGGCGACCAAGGCTGTGCATCTAGAACTCGTATCCGACTTGAGCTCAGCCGCCTTCCTAGCAGCACTAAGGAGGATGGCAGCCCGGAGAGGGGCTCCAAATCATATTTACAGCGATAATGGGACAAATTTTGTCGGAACCAACAAAGTATTACGTGAAGAATACATCAATTTGCGAAACACTCTTGACGAGGAGTTCTACACAGCTATCACAGATATGCAAATACAATGGCACTTTAATGCACCTTCCTGGCCAAATGCAGGGGGACTTTGGGAAGCAGCTGTCAAAAGTCTCAAACACCACATCAAGAGAGTTGTAGGCGAGCAGAAACTAACGTATGAGGAGTACTCAACATTACTAGCACAGTTAGAAGCTTGTCTCAACTCGAGACCACTTTGCGCTATCAGCGAAGACCCTGAGGATATGGATTACCTTACTCCGTCACATTTTTTATCGAGTGGTCCCACACTAACTATAATTGAAACTGAAAAAGACCCCAGAACAAGATGGCAGCTTACTCAGAAAATTTACGATGATATCTGGAAACGGTGGAAAGCCGAGTATCTATCTCAGTTATCAGCACGCAGCAAGTGGCGGCAGCCACAATCAAACTTAAAGATCAACGACATTGTTATTATCCATGACGCTAATTTACCACCCGGAAAGTGGGCCACTGGCAGAATCATAAAGCTTCACCCCGGCAAGGACGGCTGCGTTCGTGTGGTATCTGTAAAAACCAAAAATGGGGTAATCAAGAGGCTAATCATAAAACTTTCCTTGTTACCAGTACACGAACTAAATCAACCTGAAAACAATTCAGAGCAAAATAATATTACAACACAGCAAAACAAACAACCGTCAGATTCTAATAAAAATGAATCATTGAGAAATAAATCGAGACGTCGTCGTAGGGGCAAAATCAGCAACTTTATTTACATTGCTCTCATGTTTTTAATGTTAATCATAACACCATCTAGTTGTGATTATAAAACAGCACCTTTGAATAGCAATCAGAGCATTTATTTCGATAAGATCTCCAACATGCGCCTCGAACGAGACGAGTGGAAATTAATTGTTTACTATGATATGAATCCCTATTGGCAAGGCTTTGTTCTGCTTAAAAAATACGTTGATCATCTGGGCAATATATGTGCTAATACAACAAACATATCACAATGTGACGCAATACTCATTCAACTACGTCACAGTAAGAATGAACTTGACCATTACAATAGCATGTTGTTTGGTCAGCAATTCACGGAGAATATCCGACGTAAGCGCGGTCTTATCAATCCTATAGGAAGCGTAGCGCGAAGCTTGTTTGGTGTCCTAGACGACGAGTTTGCTCAGCAATATGCCCGAGATATACATCAAATCAAGCGTAACCAAAAGCATTTGACTTCTTTATGGAAAAATAACACATCCATTGTTGAATCAGAGAACAACATCATCAAAAGAGTTGAAAATGAGATGGATAGACATCACAAGGTTTTCAATCAGCACCTGATCAGCTTAGAGAAGGGATTTAACACAATTCAGGGAGGAGTTCAAGAATCACTAATTTCTAACAGTTTCAGTATTTCTTCCATCGTTGCTAACAGCATTCTAATAAACTTAAAAACAATCCAAGAAAACATCGTGGATACTATTATGAACCTACACCATACAGGTTTCAATATTCACCTTTTAACACCTGAACAGCTGACGGATGAACTTAATATCATAACAGGACAGTTAGCAACAGAATTGACTCTTCCAATAGATAATATTCAGTCGGATTTATCTAAATTGTATCATTTATTAAAGACTAAAGCAAGAATTACGCAGCAGCTAATAATCTTCGAAGTAAAAATACCCTTAGTAAGCAGAGACAGCTATGACATCTACAAGATCATAACAATACCACAGCAAGTTGAAAGTAAAATGATCAGTATCATTCCCATAGCAGATATTCTCGCAATTAATTTACAGAAGGATGCATATATTCCAATGACGGAAAACGAAGTCCAGACCTGTATGTTTTATGACACAGAAACGTACATCTGCCCTTTAAAGGGTCCAGTTCATCAAATGAGGTCAGATGAAAACCTCTGCATTAGAGAAAATAAATCTAATCGTTGCAGGACTGCATCTACTATCTGCACAAATCATTGGACAGAACTTAATAAAATAAATACATATCTCTATTTTTGTTGCGGACTGTGCTCCATAAGAATCATGTGCGAATATCAAGTTACGGCCGAACAATTAACTAAGGCCGGCGTTATCATGCTCGGAAATGGATGCGTCATCAAAGGCGATACTTACACAGTTTATTCACATAAACTACTATCCAATACTTTGAAGACTACGGCAGACGTTCTGAGAATAGATATCCCACCCATCAACAATATAATCAATTTATCAATACCTATTGGTGCAATTAATGAACAGTCTGAGCATACCGACATCGAGACCCAAGGTCTAGTAAAGAAAGTCCACGATCAGTTGAGTCAGATGAAAGATTCAACGAGCATTGATGAAGATTATAACGACGGGTTCTCATATCACGACTTGCATCATTACACGGTGATATACTTATTGGCGTTCGCCCTGTGCGCGGCAGGAGCCGTGCACGTGTGGCGGCGTCTTCGGCGTGTGCGCAGCGTGGCTCTGCCCGCGCGCTCGCCTCGTCAGCAGCTTCAGAGTGCTAGTGTAATTAGTGTAAATGAGCTATCGGGACCCGGTGATATTGAGCTCAGTGCAATTTCAAGTGCGTGTAAACAAAACAGGGCTACATCGCCTATGTTACGTGAATCTGTTTTAAGTTAAAATAAATAACACTTTTATAGACTTTAAGTTTGTGTGTCAACCAATATTGTGCTCTCTATTATTATCATTGTCTTTTTAAATTCTTACATTTACGTATGTTATTTTTTGATTTTTTATCTTAGTCTCTCGTGCCTGGGAGCATGTACGGTCCACCCGTACAATTATTGGAATATTGTAGAATAAGTACTTTTGTACCGCGAGCGCACTTTACTTCAGTTCGCGTTCGATTCTCGCCGCGGTTACTCATTTGTATCATGTAACTATCATTAAAGTTATATTATCACTATATCATCGTATCATTTGTAGTTGTCCCGTACATATATAAAATTAAAGTACAAAGGTTAGGTAGGTATATTTATTTGAAGTTGATAGAATAATTGGCGAAAATAAGTGACTAGTATGATCAATGTACCACTTATGACTTAATTAATTCCAGAAGACTACACCCCATATATGTACACGTTAGATATAACATCGATCATCATCAATTAGATAACGAAGCTGTAAAAAGGGTAGATGACTAATATTTATTTTAATGTCCGTCTGGTAGATTATTTAAAAAAATCAGACACGCATTTTTAATTTTCTTGCGGTAACGAATAGTTTCGAAGATATATTGATTTGAAATTTTTAATTTGAAAAACTTTTGAATACGATTTATACTCTAAAACGACGTAGCTATCTCCCACTCCTAAACTTTGATTCGTTTTATCTAAATATTGTTTTCTTATACGACAAAATAAAAAAATACGGACGGGCTAATTCGATTTAATTTTCATACCCTGTCATCATCCCTATTGTAGTTGAAATTGAATTGAAATGTATGAATATTGTGGCAGGTCATCATGGCTGTATCGAAATTATTGGACAACTCCACCGCGCTCAACTGCAAGCGCTTCCAGGAGTCACTCTCTGTCATCAACTGCTTTGCGACTGGCGACAAAGCTATGAAGGGAACTGGTAAGAAGATATATTGTTTGTAACACTTTATTGTATTAATTTACATGTCTTTTGTAAACATAACATAACATTAAGCCTTTTATCCCCGAAGGGGTAGGCAGACACAGAAGTAACACCCACTTTTCACTATTTAAGTTATGAGCCCTATGTAATAGGGGGTGAGCCTATTGCCATACTGGGCACAGTTGCAGACTCCACAGTTGCAGGTCGAATGGTCGGTAGTGCGGCTGCCGGACAAGGGGTCTCGGGTTCTACTCCCGGGAGGGGCAAATATTAAGGGTTTAAAAAAAATCCTATTAGTGGTACGGCGTTTGGAATTGTGTCCGGTATATGGCAATGGGCACGCCTATTACATGGGACTCATAACAACATAGATAGTAAAACGTGGGTTTACATTGAACATACAGTGGCAAACCCCTTAGGTGGTAAAAGGCGTGATGTTATGTGAAATTTCAAGATCTTTTTATACAAGTTGACTTATGTTTCTAATACGATATCAGGTTTGTCGAGTGAAGTGGCGGAGCTGATGCGTCGCGTGCGCACCGTGGTCGGCGCCCGCGCACGACTCGCGGGAGTGGGCGGGGTCGGTGCTTCTGGTAAGTGACTTTTAATTGTTCATTTGCATTATCGTGTCAACTTCCAAAAATAGTGACAATTATAAAGTGTGTGACAATCCGGTAGCTATTTGTGTCTCATGGGACGGATCGGTTTGTTTTAGCTATGCAATATCCAAGCGGTCACCGGTGACCGTTCTCTGCTGACTTCATTATAGACTTTATTTTCGATGTTTAGAGACTACTTTTGTATGAAATATCTTAATATCAACGTTTTAAAGTTTTGTTTCATTTCAACTCTTAGTTCATCACTGGATTTAGCTTTATTGAAATGATAGTTCACACTACCCTCCCTACCCAGGGGCAGGCAGCGTCCACCTGGCGGAGCTGCAGCACGCGCTGGCGGCGTCGTGCCGCGCCACGCCCCGCCTGCGACACGCGTGGCTCTCCAACCTCGCCGAGCACAACGCCAGGCAGGGGGACTATGATGAGGTAACCAATCTTTACTATACTGATACTAAATGAGATTGTAAATGACATAACATCACGCCATTTATCCCCGAAGGGGTAGGCAGAGGTGCACACAGAAGTAACACCCACTTTTCACTATTTATGTTGAGTCCCATGTAAAAAAAAAGAGGGTGAGTCTATTGCCATATACCGGACACAATTCCAGACTCCGTGATACTACTGAGAATTTTTTAAAAACCCAGTAATACTTTGCCCGACCCGGGAATCGAACCCGAGACCCCTTGCCCGGCAGTCATACTTGCGACCACTCGGCCAACGAGGCAGGCATTGTGAATGAGTTTGTCATAAAAGCTTTTTTTTAAGTGTAACTATATTGTTTTTTACATGGCCATTGCAGTAGAATTAATAATTTGGTGTATTTTTTTTAAAACGTTGCCCCACTATAGGATTATATCTTGTGTCGTGAGTGCGTTTACAAACATACAAGTTTACTTACACATGACACTCCGACCCGGGACAACAATTTGTGGATCACACAAAGAGTTGTTCCGTATGGGTATCGAAACCGCGACACGTTGCGCGACAGCCAGTTGCCCAGCCACCGCGCCAACCGTGCAGTCGATTTGTGTAATATGTCGATTTATGTATATTTTAATTAGCTTTTTCCATCCTTAACTGTCACTATCGTTCCAATAGAATAATAATATTGCCAGTACTTCAAACATTCCCTGTAGGATGCGATCGTCAATTGTTTTAAATTATGACAAGTTTAAATAAATATGATAACTAAAAACAGTGTATAGTTGTTCAATAGAAAATACTAACGTTCAGTTAAATCTTATCTCCTCTATCATTGCAGGGATATTACAATAGATATATTTAAACTCGATTTTTTATAAACAGGCAATGTGCTGTCAACTGCACATCGCAGCGCTAATGGCGGAGTACCTCAAACTGAGAGGCACTCAACAATGGGGAGCCGACGAGTTCGCAGAGATCTCACTCAACATACTACGAGACGAGACCGGCCTCAAAATCGACGAGGGTAAGTGAAACACCAATTCAATCAATAATATAGTTTATAATCGTAATCATAAAGTCCATATTTAAATACCACAGCCTACCGTCGATTTGTCACGCACTATAAACTATGTGTTAGGAATGAGCCTGCAGTCTTTGTTATAGTTATGTGTCACTATGTATTTGGTTAGCTCCTTGAAAGTCTCGAGGGGACAGAACGCGTTGCACCCTGGGACTTCCATGAGGCGAGGTTCCGCTGAGTCGTCGTCCCAGTAATATATCTGCAAAGTGACAAATTTTTGAAAGTATATGACGCTATACAGGTTGTAAACCGAATGCTACCGAAAACCGTCAACAGGTGATGGTAAAAAACATATTTTATTTTTATATTTATGCCTTGGCACGAACGATACCACGGCCTCACTGAAAACCGACGTGAAGCAACGCTTGCGTTGTGTTACGTCGTGTGAGTGAGGTTACCGTAGGCCCAATTATCCTCCCCTTCCCCAATCTCCCCAATCCCTGAATCCCCAACGATGCTCAAACTCCTAATCCCCAATAGGCCGGTAACGCACTTGTAACGCCTCTGGTGTTCCAGGTGTCAATGGACGACGCCGATTGCTTACCATCAGGTGATCCGTCTGCTCGTTTACCGGTTTATGCCATAAAAAATATATATGTATAAATAAGGAATTAAATGTTTCTTAAATGTAATAATAGTTGTGATCAACTGCTCAAGGCAGATTTTGCATGAATAATACGAAAACAAAAACGATTCAAATAGTACAAACAATTTCTTTTTGTCGGCGTTTTGGGAGCGTTCCGTTTACACTCTGTATGAAAACTTTGCTACCCTAAGTCTAAAAATATTGTTAAGTCTTCAAAGCTGTTCTCAAATTCGACTTCTAATTTCAGTAATTGAGTACTTTCTTTAATCCAAATTAAATTATTTCGACTGTTCAATACAATATACAAATATTAAAAAATAATCACACTTTCACTGATTGATTTTATGACCAACTTAATTTTAGTATTTTTCCATCAAACTTTTAGTAAGTAAGCATACTTATTTCTTAAAAGTTTGCTGGAAAAACAGCAGATTGACGCTAAAAAAATATGACGTCACAATACAAAATCTCGTACAGAATTCATAGAAAACTGTCGTTTTGTACAGTTCGAAAAAAGTATTTAATTTGACTACTTGGCAAGTACCCAATTGCCGTTTCCAACTAACTCGGCAATTTTATAAACACCCTGCATAAAAATATTATAAAATTAGCATCTAAATTAAAACCTATTTCCAAATTTCCTTTAAGAAAACAACATAATAACAACTAAAACCGATTCTGACTTCTAATTAAATATTTTTTTCGAAATGTCCTTCAATTTCGCACTCATTTCTAACTAGCTTTACGGTCGCGAAGTCACAGTTCATGGCCGACTTTCTTGTGTTTTAAGATAGAACTTTACCTAATTACTTGTATTTAAAATTAAATGGTAAAAAGAGAATGTCTACTTAGTATTCAAGAGTCTAGGTCGTTTTAATTAGCAAGTAAACTGGAACTTAGCAAAAACAGACATGAATAGTAGTGGTCGTAAAATATAAAAGTAATGTTCAATAGAATAATTAGAGGTAATTCCAGAACTAAACTTTATTAAAATAAAAATGCACGACTGAGCGATAAAACTATATTCACGGAACAGGGCGGAAGTACAAGAGAAAAAACATGACAACACAAGTGAACGGAGTGACACTGACAGTTAATACAAAAACGTCACATTACATTATGTTATCTGTGGTTTGTAATTAGTAAACTAATCACAACATCCTCTTCTTAATTGCAAACCCATAGCAGCTGAACAGTCTTCAGTTTTCTTCTGAGAAATTGGTTTTGTTAGCACGTCGGCGACCATATCCTGAGTGCCAACATAGCGGAGCTCGATGTCCTTTTCAGCAGCCCTTTCTCGAACAAAATGATACCTTATATCGATGTGTTTGCTGCGGGCACAATAAGAGTCATTACCTGTAAATTTAATTGCACTTTGGTTGTCACAATAAATTATGGTAGGTGCAATTGTAGCCTTCCAATATAGCTCAGACTCTAAATGCCGCAGCCACATAGCTTCTTGTGTGGCAGTAGCCAGTGCCATATATTCTGCCTCCATGGTGGATAATGCAACAGTGTTTTGACGTTTAGAACACCATGAGACAGCAGCACCCTGAAACAGAAAACTGTAGCCAGAGCAAGATCTCCGGCTGTTAATATCCGAAGCCCAATCGGAGTCACAGTAGCCAAACACTCCTGTTTCTTCTGCATTTTGGCTGAACTTTAATTTGCAATCCTTTGTTCCTTTTAAATACCGTAGTACTCTTTTTACTGCTGACCAATGTTGTACTTCAGGTTTGTTGTTGAAGCTACTCAATTTGTTTACTATAAAACATATGTCTGGTCTTGTACCTTGTGATAAATAAAGTAAACTTCCAATTGCTTCTTGATAAGGAATATTGTAAGCAATATTATTGTGCTCTTGTGTGCTAATCAATTTTAAACTAATATCACATGGTGAATGAACTGGATTACAATCTGTCAAATTGAACCTTTGTAGAATCTTCTCTATATAATTAGTTTGATCAATATAAATTTGATCCCTGGTTACATTTTGATTTATTCTCCAACCAATAAAATGATTCACAGGTCCAAGCATTTTCATATTAAAATTGTTTCCAAGTTGTTGCTTTATTTCTTCACCTTTCTCTATGTTGTTATAGAATATTAATAAATCATCCACATAAATCAATATGATGATAATGCTTTCATCTTCATTTTTATAATAAACACATGGGTCTACAGATGTGCTTTTTAATCCCAGCTGTTTCAATACAGAAGTTAGTTTCAAGTTCCATTGACGACTTGCTTGTTTTAAACCGTAGATAGATTTATTTAATTTGCAGACTTCTTGACCATGTTCATAACCTGGTGGTTGACTCATGAAGATGTCAGTGTCTATGTCACCTTGCAGAAATGCTGTAACTGCATCCATTTGATCTATGTATAACTTTTCTTTGACAGCCAATGCAAACAAATATCTAATAGAGGTATGTCTTACTACCGGAGCGAAGATCTCATTGTATTCAGTTCCTTTCTTCTGTTTGAAACCTTTAATAACTAATCTTGCTTTGTATCTTATGACTTTAGCATCTGCATTAGTTTTCAATTTATAAACCCATTTGCAAGGTATTATTCTTCTGTCTTTAGGAAGAGTTACTAATGTCCAAGTATTATTCTGAAGGAGTGATTCATACTCACTGTCCATGGCTTCTTTCCACTCTTTTGCATTCAGACCTGAAAGAGCTTCTTCCACAGTCTCTGGTTCCTTTAATAATACTGCTGAATTAGTTGGTTTTTCTTCTTGACAAAGATATGTATTAGGTTTAGTATTCCTAGGTCGGAGGTTCATTTTTCTTAATGGTATGGTATCTTGTTTAAAGTTCTCCGGTGTGTAATCTGGATCATTTTCAAATTCTAAGTTTGATAAGTCACTGGTGGCATCAAATAATTGTTCCTCTTCTGAACTTTCATTTACTAAAGTATCAGTATCACATTCATGTTGAACAGTACTTTCCTGTTGCTGCAGGTTAGTAAGCGGCATAATGACACAATTGTTTTTAACTGTGTGTTCCAAGAAGACAACATCTCTGCTCTTAAATATGCGTTTTTTATCTTCATCATAAAATCTGTAACCTTTAGTATAATCGCAATAGCCAACAAATATCATTTTAACTGATTTTGAATCCCACTTTTGTCGATTTTCCTTTGGTACATGAACCATAGCTTGACAGCCAAATATTTTCATATTTTTTAGGTTAGGTTTTTTACCTGTCCACATTTCATATGGTGTCTTGTAATCCAAAGCTTTTGTTGGGCAACGGTTAGTAATATAAGCGGCTGTTGAAACTGCTTCAGCCCAAAACATTTTAGGTAACCTGGAATTCAAAATTAGGCATTTAGCTCTCTCCACTAATGTGCGGTTCATCCTCTCGGCCATGCCATTTTGTTGAGGAGTATGTAGATTACTAGTTTGATGCTGGATACCAAATTTACACAGAAACAATTTAAAATCTTTATTTATATATTCTCTTCCATTGTCTGAACGTAATATCTTAATCTTTTTATTAGTTTCATTTTCAACTAAATTCTTATATTCTTTAAACTTTTCTAATGTTTCAGATTTATTTTTCATGAAATAGACAGAAACCTTCCTACTGTAATCATCTGTGAATGTAACGTAATATCTGGCACCCCCAATAGAACTCGTCTCCATCGGACCACATAAGTCGGAGTGGATCAATTGGAGCAATTCAGAAGCTCTAGTACCAGTATTATTGAATGGTTTTCTACACATTTTTCCTTCTAAGCAAGTTGTACAAAACTGATTGCCTAGTTTTAATAATTCTACCCCTTCTGCACTATCTGTTATTTTCTGTAAGTCTGTGAAATTGAGATGGCCCATCCTCTGATGCCATAGATTTATATCTTTCTCATTTACTGTCGATAGCAATGCCGGTGCTTCAGAAACATTGTTTAATACATACATGTTATTGCGATGCAGAGCTGTCAATATTAATTTATTATTCTGATAAATTCTACAACCATTTCTCTCAAATTTTACTTCACAGCCATTGTTTACCATTCGACTTACAGAAAGTAAATTTACTGTTAGTGTGGGTACAAATAGAACATCTCTAACCTGTATTGTCCGTATTATGCCATCTGAGTCAATTACTTGTAAATCCACCTTGCCACTACCTTTTACTGGTGCTGTTTTATTGTCAGCAACTTTGATGTTGTTGATTGTAGTTGGATTAACATCATACATCCGATCCCTATTGTTGCACATATGTAATGATGCACCGGAATCAATGTACCAGGAGTTTCCATCCAACTCTGCAGCAACTGGAAAAGCGGCAAAATAGCTGTTATTTTTACAATTATCATGGTAAGCGGAGCTTTTCTTTTTGTCTTTGAAATAGCATTCTTTACTCATGTGCCCATGCTTGTTACATACAAAGCACCGTGGGCCTTTGCCATGCTTTTTAACATGCGATTGGTTATGTGGATTATGATTAGGCAGTAACTTATGCATATTTTTATTATATGACTTAGCATAGAAAGCAGCAGAATCTGATACCTTAACCTCTTGCAATAACTTAGTTTTTACATAGTCAGCAGTAATATTCACACCAGAGCTCTCTAAAGCCATTATCATCGGTTTGTAGTAATCAGGGAGGCCAGCGAGCAGCAGTGTACCAAGCCACTCGTCTCCTACTATAAAATTGATATTTCGAAGCTTGTGAGCTGTCGATATTACCTTATTGACATATTCTTCGACGCTCGAGCAATTTTCTAGATTAGTGGTTACAAGATCTTTTAACAGGCCTACCTTTCTGCTGAGCCCGGAGTCATCAAATACGGATTCCAATTTTGTCCAAACCTGTTTGGCGCTCGTCGAGTCTTGAACGTGGACATAGTTCAGAGGATCAATTAGTAGAATGATTTTAGACTTCGCTTTCGTGTTTTTTTTGCTGTCCGATACATATCCTGGTTCGTAGGGTTCAATCTCCTGCCATAGTTCTTCATGCTCCAGATAATTTTTAACAGCGAATTTCCAACTTTGATAGTTTTCACGGCCAACCAATTTTTCAATGGTGCCGATTGATATTTGAGAAGATGCCATCATGTAATTAAATCTGAAATGCTGAAAAAGAACGTCGGTGTGGCCGGGACGCGGTAATGGCCGTTGAGATTGCCAACAGCTAATACGAATCTGATTGAATCGCGGTACTGTAGTGTCGAATTACTTTTACTGTATCCTAATGGACATACTGGGCCCATAACCTAATGTTCAATAGAATAATTAGAGGTAATTCCAGAACTAAACTTTATTAAAATAAAAATGCACGACTGAGCGATAAAACTATATTCACGGAACAGGGCGGAAGTACAAGAGAAAAAACATGACAACACAAGTGAACGGAGTGACACTGACAGTTAATACAAAAACGTCACATTACATTATGTTATCTGTGGTTTGTAATTAGTAAACTAATCACAACAAAAAGTAATAAAATAGCTCAATAAAGTCATAATTCTCGTGAGCGTCAAATTAGGAGTGTAAAAACTGGAAAATCTTTAATAGATTGGAATAAGATGGCACGCTTCTTTTTTATCAGGTGGTAAAATCATCCAATGACTTCTCCCGCTTTGGGTTAGGCGAGAGGGAGTGTCAGACTCTTACTGACTAAAAACCACCCCATTCCTACTCCTGCTCTTCGAGCCGGAGCACCGGCAATCCGTTAGGCCTTCCGCGGAAGATGGCACCCTTAGTTTTATGCCAGGAAGCGGTCGTTACTTTTTTTTAAATGTGTAAACTTGATTATATTTGGCTTTGCATGACCATGTCGAAATAAACACCCTCAATCGCCAATGAAGAGTGATAAATGTAGACAAAGCGAATAGGTATGATGGCATAATTGGAGACGTGACGATATCTGGGTACTTGGAATATACGATAGACACATTATATTTTTATAATATAGTTATTACACGATTCACGATTACACGATAGTTCGTGAGACATACTAAATTAACTAAAAATTACTGTTTACTCACGTAAATACTGAAAAAAGCTCTACTAGTACTATTAAGACCTGAATGTCTAGTACTAGTCTATTGGTATAGTTTTAGTATTAGTGAGTAGGGTACGCGACGTCGATACCGCGCACGCTTCTCATAAGGCAGGGTCCCTCTTTGACTCGAAGTTCTAGTAGAACCGATATTTTCCGTTAATTCAAATACATTAGATGTTTATTTGTTTTACATAATCCGGTAAAAATAATGCTCCAACGAGTAGTTTACTTATTACTATACCTTAAACCCAAACCGCTGTCCTTCGGCCAATGTCTTCTGCTCCTTATTAGACTGTGGTAAAGGGCGTCGTTCGTGTAACTCAAACAATAGCGCAGCCCCTGGGTCTGGTAGACGCGGTGGAGGAGCCACGCAGGCACCCAACAGGGCTGCCACAGATACAGGAGTCCCTGTTCGTACGACTAGACGTAGCTGGGACTCGCCTGCGGTATTACTGCTTGCTTCTTTTATTATTTGTTGAAGCAATGCTCCTGGAATAGATGTAATAGTTTTGTTAAGGCGTTGTTGCTAGAGTGGTTAATGGGCTGGATGCAACTGGACTACAAAATTATCTTTTCCATTATCGTACCACAAGATAATCGGCGAACCGTTACCGATTCATGGTAGATGTCCCACCCATACGCACGAAGCGTTTTGCATCAAGCTTCCTTGTGCGTACTGCTAAGGAGTCGAATTCTTTGCCAGAATCTGTGTTTCCTGAAGAATATAACTTGGGCCCGAGTGAATAGGTTGCTTATGGTTCGACGTGCTCCATCGTAGACCGTATCATCGCTTACCACCAGGCGAAATAGTGGTCAAACGTCGGCCCATCAAATATAATATAAATATAAAAAAATGGATATCCTATAACTGGCTGTATAGATGCTAGACTTTCTCGGTGATTAGCTCAGTCTTTACTTTAATCTGACTTTTTAGTCTTAAACAACCAACACCCACCACTTTGGATCAATTATTCTATTGCCTAAATGCTTCCCTCCCTTTTTTATTAGTCCATAAATGTCATAATATTGAGAATCTTGAAAGGGAAAACATGAAGCAGTTACATGAACAGTTTTAACATGACTTTAAGTAGTGATCAACAAACCCACTTTTATCTAGTCCTAATTAAATCCCAGACATGTTTCTGATGTTTTATGAACTTGGCTTAACAGGTTTGGATTTGAATGCCAAGGTCGAATGATAGAAACCGTTTTTTTTTTAATAATTCATTTTATAAACACGTGCAGTTTAACGAGACATAAATATGCATGAATCCTATCTTCACACAGATGTACGATTAAATACTGGAAATGGATATTCTAATTCTTACCGCCGCTAAGTTTCCTAAGCAAGTTGTTATGGAACATCATCGAGTACTCCAACCGGGCCACATCCATCAGTTTTCTCTTCACGTGTTTCGCCCATTTCGGATTTGCTACCTTTATATCGTCCTGCAATAAAATGGAAAAATTTAAAGTCAATTCAGAACAACTGATTACAAATAATTACGGCTGCGATGTTTATGAATAAATTGTAGTTTCCAGGATACCACAATTTGTGCAAAATTACAAAACTATTAGTAGCTATACTTTATTTTATTTTAAATAGCTTAAGCAGTTTGGATAATTCACTTGCATATATCTGTATCTACACAACCCAGGCACAGGAAACGTATGGAAGTAAAAATGTCAAACAAACCTGTATAAGAAATAAATTATTTAAATAGTACGCCTCTTGCGGCGTGCTGAAGTTAGTGTTGGTCATCTGCGCGATCTTATGGAAGAAGTCGCGGTACGGTTGCAACAGCCCTTCTTCTGTGAACGCTTTAAGTATCCTCTCCTTCTCTTGTTTGTAACGAGGACAGTTCTCTTCGTACAGCAGCTTTTAAAACAAAATAAACTCAACTAGACTCAAATTTAAACCAATTTATATCTTGCAGAGCTGCAAATCTTCTATTTGACCCAATTCTTCTGATTAATCTCATACTTACAAAGTCCTGGCGTCGTGGTGGATACGTGTAAGGCACGGGTTGCCACGGCAGCGTGTCATTCCACACTTGCTCTGGCGGCGGCGGCCATAGCCCCGCCGCTATCAGCAGAGCCGTCATCTTACTCAGCTCTGTATCCGACGATATCACGATACTCCTCTCTGACAACAACCACACATGTTTAGAAAGAAAGAGAGATAAAAATATTTCACGCTAATAAACAAGCGACATGTACAGATGTGTTTTTCTATTAGTAGGCACTGACTGACATGTCAAGACAGACAAGACAGGGCTTTGCGCTAGTATCCTACTGGCCATCAGCATCAGCAATTAAAATTAAAATTATTAATTAAACAACCTCACTGCAGAAAGCCATTTATATCAATAAATATAATTACCACTATCATAGTAAGGTCCCAAAAACTCATCATATCTCTTCCTAAGTAATGCGCCCATTTCAAATGTCAACATCTTGCCCTCCTGTAACACAAGAGAAAATGTCAACGTCTTTATTAATGAAGTCCGGTCGCCTCGCAAATGCTTTTCTATTAGAGCCGTATGACGTGGGACAAGCAATAAATCATTATTAGTGTCTGACGGCTATCTGCGTGAGTGCCGACACTTCGTTCCCGTTTAGAGCACGCCGCGACCTTCGGCTATCGGGACTCCCTCCCGCATTGGGACCAGGAAGCGGACACTTCGTTACAGAATCATTCGTCTTCACTTGTCCTTCTGGTCCGACCCTTGACTATAGTTCCGGAGATTCATTGTCACGGCCCCGGCAAATGTTACGTCGCATGTCAGATACTTTTAACTTGTTTACACATGGAACGATGCATGTATTTATTTGTGCATCGCAATTGCCACAACTTCAATTCTGTACATGCATTATGCATGAATGAGATTAGGTACCTACCAGTTTGTCATTCAAAATCGAACCGCAGCGTATATTAGTTACTTTGCAAATCTCGTCAATGGGCCAATATCCCTGAGAGCCGGCCTACAAGGACGGACCAACAAGTGGTCTTTTGTTACATTGAGAGAGGAGCGCCGCCGCATATGAGTAATCTAAATGCAGTATCACCATTGATCAGCGAGTGTCGCGGTTATGGTTTGTACACGTCAGGAGCTATTCGTTACGGCCGGCGAGCACCTAATTCAATGTATCGAGGAACTACGCCAAAAAGGTCCATTGTTAAAAAATAACATCTCTTGTGGTTCCCATGAATTTCCAAATAACAGAATGATGATAAAATATTTCGGCCAATTCCAACGTGCTGTAATATAGGTTCATCACATCAATTTGCCTTATGTGGTAAATTGTATGATGCCAATTTAACGTAACAAGGTGAGTAGAAAATTGTATGGACACTTACATTAGTCATAGCGCCGGCTCCGTAGGGCGAAAACACGTGGTCGGGTGGAGGGGCCCCTAGCATCGCGAGCTCGCCCTCGCTTGGGGTGCGTTCCCCGTGTGACATGAGCTGAAAACGCAATTTTAATATGTAAAATATTTATAAAAAAAAATATATTGCAATTACACCACAAACTGCAATGATGATGGCAGTTCTACAGTTTCCTAATCTTTTAGTCTCTTTGAACAGAAGTCTGGGAAACAATAAAGGAGACCACTGAATGGTTTAGAGTAAACTGGAAGTTAGCAGACTTTTACTCTTCTCTTGGTACTAGGATAGGTTTAATCTAGTCAGTTGTTCTGTAAACAATAACAAAAATAGTTGACTTGTGCAATGTCTCCAAAAATGTATTAATTGCTTATTTTTAATAAAATTGACGCTAACCCTAAATTAGTCACTCTTGTCATCAAAATACGCATAATTTTCGCAGAACAGCACTTACCACGTGTACTTGACGGAGTTCTGTCACTTCAACAGTGGAATCCTTCATCAGAATCACTGCTACGAGGGCTGGTGGAGAATAATTTGAATTAATCGTTTTGAACAATTAACTGGTAAATATCCAAACTAAATTTTCATCAGGGATTACCGAAATATGAACACCTGGACGTGATAGAAGTTTATCTAAACATTAGGCCACATCTCAAGAACAGTTGCCTAAAGATCATCCCTTTGAATTCTTTGTTAATATATTTGTAAGGTTTCACCTTACTCGATTTTGTCGAAATTTGTATACTGGCTTCATAATAGCTATGGGATATTTGGTCTGTTTTGTTTGTGTACATACCGGCGATGAGCGAGATGCCCACCAACACGCCGAGGCAGCAGCAAGTATGTTCTATACGCATGCCTTGCGCCGGCGCCACTTCCGCCGCGTTGGTCGGCTCCTCCTCGCGACCGCCCTCTTTCCTGTGCAAATGCACCACACTCTTCACCACGTTAACTATTGCCAACTATTGTTCTTTTCTTGTTTTCTATGCAACTATTTTGATAGATATTTCAATTTTTATTGTTTTATATCGATCGAATGCCTAATTATCAACAAGTGCCATGCCATTGAATTGGCTTAAGAATTGTGCTAATCTGCAATTGACATAAACATCCGCTTTATTGCACCTAGATCTCGAAATGTCACTCACATTTTCCTTCGCCGGGTCGGCAGCTCTACATTGTAATCTGATCTTAATCGGGCTTTAGTCACTCGGGGTAGCGCATAATTAATAGTTTAGTGACGACACATAAACCACCAGAACTGAGTAGCATACACTAAGCACCCGTGTGGTCAGGTCAGCAGCGATACGAGGCAAGAAGCGCACGGCGCGCGAGGCGGGGTCCCACTGAGATCCGTACGGGACGCTGGCGAGATTCACGGTCGCCGCGACCTGTGCCCCGCTCAGATGATTGACTTTGTCCAATCGATTGTACCACGGTGCCTATTTACACATGCGTGCCCGTATCGTCCGATGTTGATATTTAGCCGGCTGGCGCCCTTGTTAACCTCGGCTTCAATGGTAAATTCAGATTTGAGCACACAATGTGCCAGACTATACAGCTGTATGGTGTACATTGAATGGACTGAATATGGTAGGCTTCATAGGTATTAGAGATGGATAACATTAATTTCCTGTAGGAAATGCATTGTATGTTTGCAATAAAACAAACGTACATATGAATGGCACTGTAACATGTGAAGATTATTTGCATGAGGGTGCTTTGATTCGCCTGATAGTGTGAATTAAAAGATTGCGCGCGCGCTGCCGTGCGAACATACAATGCCTTCCGCCTGCCCTATCCTGGTGGGGGGCTGGGTACTGAACACTATTTTGCTATAACGACCTCGCATTCTTCGCTACCTAGTTGCTAGGTTTTCAAAATATGGACTTGAGTTTTCAAAACAATATACGTTTCCACCAAACATTAGCTGTGTAATAAAGTCATTACTTTTTTGATCAAAAGTCTAGTTATTTAGTAAATAATATAATACGCGATAACTAATAAAGGAATAACAATGAATTATCCATAAGAACTGAGCATTGGATGCAATTTTACAAAAACATAAAATATACATACACACCACCTATTTCATTCAAACATCAACGTGCACATCATAAAAAACTCAATAAAAAACAAATGTTTACGACTTACTTGATACATATTACACTTGTGAGGTGCACCATCTCAACACTGACTTCCAACTACATCTAATTAAGATTCCAAATTATCTCTGTATAAATTATTTGTGTAATCTCGACATCTCGTCTCGCTTGGTGATAAGACATTAATAAGTAGCTACAGGAAACTTAGTTCACATAATTCTATGGAGCATACAGTCAGAGATGGTATCTAATCATATTGTAACTATAAAACAACGTTGTACTACAATTATATTTTCTTTAAACATACTATTTACTCTGTTTTATGTAATATTGACATGTGTGTACCTAATGTACAATATCATATGTACTTATGATATAATTTGCAATGTATAGATCAGTTGTAGGCTTGACTTGGCAACGGCATTGGCAATAAACTGGCTTGGAATCAGTCAAACAAAAAGTTCCATGAGTAATTAGTACAATTGGTGTCTATTTGTTAGATGTATGGTGTGGTGCTATAGGCTTTATGTACTTCTAAAATGAAAAGTATGCAAACTTTCAACTATGATACTAGATACCTATAATGTGTCTAGTTTTTCATCAAAAGTCTTATTTAGAAGTCGATTGCTATGAAAATATTCGTTTAAATGTATATATGCTCATATGAGTAACATTATGACTGCCTCGTTGGCCGAGTGGTCGCAAGTGCGACTGCGGCAAGGGGTTTCGGGTTCGATTTCCGGGTCGGGCAAAGTAATAAAGGGTTTTTTAAAAATTCTCAGTAGTAACACGGAGTCTGGAATTGTGCCCGGTATATGACAATTGGCCCGCCCCCTATTACATGGGACTCATAACATAAATAGTGAATAGCGGGTGTTACATTGTACAGTGGCATAATATGCACCTCTGCCTTCCCCTCCGAGGATAAAAGGCGTGATGTTATGTTATGTATGTTATATAAGTAACATTACTACCAAAATTAACTAAAAATGTTGACTTCCTATTTAAAAATGTTAACCAGATACTTCTTTAATTCCATTACGAGGAAATGGGGACAGGAAAATATTGTGGAAATGTTCAAGGTCGAAGGGTATAATTATGGTATTGTTCTTGTAAGTTTTTGGGTCGTGACAATCTTGACCGTAGTCTGATAGCGTGATTTAGTCCTTTTTGTAAACATCGGCTTGAGATAGTAAAGAATTCCTCCTGTATTTTGTACATCGCATTATAATTACTATCGTATTGTCGAGTTCAGAAGCCAAGCTATTTGGAGGACCCAGTGCCTCTTTTAAGTGTTGATGGTATGATTCAAGTGTGGGTTCTTCACTAATGGGTCGACTCGACCGGAGTGACACTACGGCCTCACAGTAAACCGAACGCGAAAAACCCGAGACCCAATTACACTTCAATCCCCGAATCCCCAACAATCCTCAAATACCTAGTCCCCAAAAGGCCGGCAACGCATTTGTAACGCCTCTGGTGTTTTGAATATCTATGGGTGGCGCCGACTTCTTACCGTCAGGTGATCCCTCTGCTGGTTTACCGGTTTATTCCATAAAAAAATGCTGACCAGCAGGTTGGTTTAAGTGAAGTAAGAATCCCACACTCCCCAGTTTATGTCCTTGATGTCTCGTGAACATTACACTTCATTATCAAAAATCTCTAATAAGTATCGAATCATGTGGAACATTTCCTATAAAATTTGTGATAGTTAACCATAGCGTGAAGCTATGATTCAAAATCTGGACATGCTTTGAAGTTTTACCTCAAAACACATAATACCTACTTTACCACGCTCACGAATTTTATAAGTACTCGATCAAGGATAAATATTTTACATAACTAGAAAAGTAGAATTAGTAACTAATTAGGCTTTTCGATTTTAGTGATTCTCAGTAGCACGAAGTCTGGAATGGCAATAGATTCATACTCATACATGTGGTTCATCATTTTACTACGTATTTGGAGAAAAGGAAATTTTTAAATGTTTCTTATGTTTGTCACCAAACACGAAACTATCCTAAAATGAGTGAGTGACCTTTTGAGGAATATATTTAAGGTGTAGCCGTGGAGGTAACCGTCTTGCGACCTTCCAAAATGAACCTTAATGACCTTGGCACATTGTGACAAATCAATGATTTAGAAACTAAATAACAATTCATCATGAGTGGTCACCCGCATTTTACGAGCTATGACTACTAATCTTCGGAAAGTCATCAAAGGGGATTCCTATGCCCCCCAAAGCTTTGATACCCCTGGAAAAAAACCCCGAAATAACAACACGTAGGTCAGTAAAATTTTTAAACAAGATATTTGCTTGAGAAAATTTTATATGCATATTACTACTATTATTCAATGAAGTCCATTCTACATTAATTATCATCACATCGAAAACCATTGCTACGCTATGAGTCTTCTCCACATAAAAGCCTCAAAATCGTTAGAAATCGGGTTGGAGACATTACATTATCGACATTTTAATACCCATTTATATAACACTGTTCTGTAATCGAAATGTATGCACTATGTATCTATGTATGTAGGTCTAGAACTCTTAATAATATGTTATGCTTTAAGCATTATATGCATATGAGTGAATCCGGGCCGTGTCACTTGAACTATATAAACCACCAGTTGTTACTTCATAACATTTCATACTTATTTCCACGGCTATTCGTTATTATTCTAGCGTAGCCATATTGTATAACATTTAGATTTAATTTAAACAACAATATAGAAATCACAGCCACTTTATTCGTATCAACTATGTATAAAATTGTACTATAAGTCCGTTACGTTTTTACATTGTTCATCCATTTCTTGTTTTGACCATATAACGTCTTGGACGAGGGTCAGGAACTTGTCGAAATCGCAGAATAGTGCGCCGTCGCAGCCGTCAATTGGTAGGATTTCACTGGGCCCACCGGCATTGCGCGCGTACACCGCCTGTAAAGAGCAAAATTGTTACCCCTAATTCGTATTATACTTTATAAGTCTTCAAACTCTATAGCAAAGATGCACAGTTTTATTTCTAGTGATATTTTCTTAACAAAATGTTTATCGACTGATAGGTTAATGCCCTGCAGTTACTACCGTTATGCAATTTACTATTTTTTACTTCAATGTCATTACAAAAAATATATTACACTTTCAGCCTCACTGAACGCTGAATTCATAATAAGAAGTCAAGTAAATGACAACTATCACACCTCCTTAGCTCTCGTTTCATAGATGAGTTGATACCAATCTAAATATATTTTTTGCAATGCATGCATCACCCACGCGCTCTCTTTGATACTCTGAATGTCAATTTGCTTATTGTTATCTGACGATACTGATAAGTACTAAATCTTTGAAACAATGTTAAGTGTATAACATTTAGATAAATATAAGTTTTTATGTAGCATCACACTGAATTCAAATCGTTAAGACAAACAACAAAATATGGATTTTTTTTCAAGGGGGGAAAATCGTCGAATGACTTTTCCCGCCTGGGTGAGGCGGAAGGTAGTGTCAGACTCTTACTGACTAAAAACCACCCCGTTCCTACTCGTGCACTTCGAGACGGAGCCCCGGTAACCCGTTAGGTTCTCCGCGGCTCCGTAACAAAATATGGATAGCGTCACATCTTAAAACTTTTATCCATCATTATTTAGATTACAATGATACCTCATTATAACAAATTTCAATAAAATACATAAGGAAATAACTTAAAACAATAGTGCCTTATGTTATAATTTATGCGTGTCATGTGTCATTGTAATGATGTAATTAAGTTCCTAACATAATTTTATTGCTTTAGTAATTATCTTAGGTTATTACTGTATGCATCAATGCAATAATTAGCCAATATGGTTAAACAAAAGGTATACTTTTCCGCGATATTTTCCTTCAAAACAACTCCGTTTTGAATGATGCTAGTCGTCTTCATCGTTCATCATTCACGTGTTCAATTTAAAGAACAATAACATTTACATTTCTGTTGTTTTTTAGATAATAGAGTTGACATAAAAATTACCTTTTATTTTCCTACCAAAGGCCTTGCTAAATAACCTACATAGATAGGTAGATAGGTACAAAGCAATGTAATTCGTGCTTAATGAAAAGGGTCTATATTCTATATCGAGGATATTTTTTATCTGACACTAGCTTCTAGTTTTAGATCTCTAATAATATTAATTTAAATGTTGAATATGAGCCCCTAGCCTGACTTGAAACTAGTTGAGTTCATCAAACAGTTACGCAAGTGTAATTATGCAATAAGTAATTAATTTTAGTATAGTTCTCTTCTTACCGTCATCCCAAACTGTCCAGTCTTGGTATTATTCCTAAGTTCTAAAGAAAACGTCGATCCATAGTTAGGCTGATGTGCCTCAAACACTCTGGCCGCTGCCATCAAGCCAGCGACATTGTTCTCATGCCCTGAGTACAAATACAGCTTCTTCGCCTCAAAATCGGGGTCATTTATTAGAGAATTTGATATATTTACTATCGATTGCATTAATACACCTGGAAGATAATAAACGTAGTAGTTTTTGCATTACAATACTATCCATAAGGAAAGGATAAATCACATATGCAAACATATGTGATTTATCTATCTGTGTATGTAGTATTATTAAGATTTTTACCTGATGCCAATCTGACTAGATCTGCGTTATAAAATTCTAGGGCATATTCAATTTTAGTTACGTCTTTTATTTTAGGCATTACTTGTTGGGCCCATTCGGGGGGATTCACGCCGACGTTTTTCTGAAAACGCACATATAATTTATCATTTACATAACATACATTTTACATAACATCACGTCTTTTATCCCCGAAGGGGTAGGCAGAGGTGCACATTACGGCACTTAATGCCACTGTACAATGTAACACCCACTTTTCACTATTTATGTTATGAGTCCCATGTAATAGGGGGTGAGCCTATTGCCATATACCGGGCGCAATTCTAGACTCCGTGCTACGTAACTGAGAATTTTTAAAAACACAATAATACTTTGTCCGACCCGGGAATCGAACCCGAGACCTCTTGCCCGGCAGTCGCACTTACGACCACTCGGCCAACGAGGCAGTCGTCG